AAAAAAAAAAAAAAAAAAAAGAAGTTTAGAATAAATAAAGAACATTAATTTTGTTTTTCTTTCTTCAGTCACAATTTCAGAAGAAATTGTCATGACCCTATTAACTGACTCTTATTAGAAACAAATAATAGAAATGAGTTTCAGGGTAGAGCTTTGACAATTCAGTTCCCTTTGTCCTCTCTCGGCCAGAAACTAAAGTATCGACTTCTATTTGATGTGTATGAGAACAAAAACTGGGAAAAATTTCTGTTAGAAAATTCCTTATGTAGAAATAAAATTTTGAACACCTTTTATTCTGAGTGTTTCATAAGTATGCAGGTATTTTTGCTGTCAGCTTTTTGTAAGGCAGAGTTTCTACTTCTTGCTCTGCTGTGAACATTAAACAAGATCATTTAGTGTAACCATGATAATCAAATAGTGATAGTAGGCTGGTCACGGTGGCTCATGCCTGTAATCCCAGTAATCCCAGCACTTTGGGAGGCCAAGGTACGTGGATTACCTGAGGTCAGGAGTTCAAGACCAGCTTGGCTAACATGGCAAAACCATGTTTCTAATAAAAATACAAAAATTAGCCAGATGTGATGGCACACATCTGTAATCCCAGCTACTGGGAGGCTGAGGCAAGAGAATCACTTGAGCCTGGCAGGTAGAGGCTACAGTGAGCCAAGATCATGTCACTGCACTCCAGCCTGGTCAACCGAGTGAGACTCTATCTCAAAAAAAAAAAAAAAAAGTGACAGTTTAGGATAGAACTTGGATTTTTTTAACCAAGCCTGTTAATCATATTCACTGGTGACTAGATTGTACCAATATTACTTATTCTTTTTCTGACTGCCATATCTTCTCTACCTTATCTAATTCATCTATTGACTATTTGATGATATTCTAGTGGCTCAAGAGATATAGATGTTACCCTTGGAGAGTTTGTAGTCTACACGTAAAGATAGACAAGTGTGATAAGGGCTATGTTAGAAGTTGAGGCTGGGCATGGTGGCTCTCATCTGTAATCCCAGCACTTTGGAAGGCTGAGGCAGGAGGATCACTTGAGCCCAGGAGTTCTCAGCCAGCCTGGGCAACATAACACGACCCTATCTCTACCAAAAAAAAAAAAAAAATTTAGCCAGGCACAGTAGCACTTGCTTACAGTTCCAGCTATAAAGGATGCTGAGGCAGGAGGATCATTTGAGCCTAGGAGGTCAAGGCTGCAGTGAGCCATGATTACACCACTGCACTGAGTGACAGAGTGAGACCTTGTCTCAAAAAAAAAAAAAAGTTTAGCACAGGGTATCATGGTGGGAATGATAGAAAAGGAACCATGTAAATGGAGCTTTGAAAGTCCAGAAGATTTCTGCTGGGATACAACACTTTAATAATTAGTTAATTGTGGTTAACAGAAGTAAAAAGTTGAAAGGCGAGTCCTAAAAGAGGTAACAACTAGGGGTAGAATAGAAGACATTATTACTTTATAGGACTGTACAGTAAAACATCCTGTATAGTCCTAGAACTGCAATGACAGATTCATATGGTGGAGGATGTGGACCTAGATCGGGGCCATATCTTGAAGGGCCTTGAGTACAAAACTCAGGAGTTGAACTGTATACCAAACTATGGAGAAATCTCCAAAAATTTAAGTAGAGCAGAGCAAGTGATCAGCTGACACTGTTTTGAAAATCAAGGCCACATTTAAATGGAGGACATTTACAAATAAGTCATATAGGCTGAGCACGGTGGCTCACGCCTGTAGTCCCAGCACTTTGGGAGGCCAAGGTGGGTGGATCACCTGAAGTCAGGAATTTGAGACCAGCCTGGCAAACATGGCAAAACCCTGTATTTACTAAAAATACAAAAATTAGCCAGGTGTGGTGGCAGGCGCCTGTAATTCCAGCTACTCGGGTGGCTGAGGCAGGAGAATCACTTGAACCTGGGAGGCGGAGGTTGCAGTGAGCTAAGATAGTACCATTGCATTCCAGCCAGTGTTTTTTATTCTGTGGGAAGGACCTAGATACTCGAGAATACAAATCTATGAGGAATAATAAGTTGATTAATGTTGACTTGCCCAATCCAGATTCACCTACTACCGTAAGTGTGAATTCAAACCCTTTCTTCACAAATTTCTTGTATACTTGATTTGGGAGATTGGCAGATCTTACATAGCCTTCGAGGTTCTTCTGTTGCCATGTTGCTAGTGTTGATGTTCCTCTCTCCACAGCAACAGCTATCCCACTGGACAATTTAGGCATTCCAGCTAACCTAACATGTATATCTTTGGGATATGGGAGAAAACTGGAGTACCTATAAAAAATCCATGCAGACGTGAAAAGAATATGCAAACTCCACACAGACAGTGACCCCAGCTGGGAATCCATTTTTTTTTTCTCATCAACATTATAACAAAATGATGTTGCATGAAACATGATTCAGGGACCTCTGTTGTACTGATTTGGGTGGGGAAAAAAGACAAAAACAGAAACCTCTTCATAGCATTTCCTTTATTATAAGTGAACAGGACAATTTTTGAAAAGTGATCATGATAAAGATTCTGTGATTCAGTGTTAGTCATAATCTAGTGATTTGCCTACCCCTCCCTGCTTTCTACTTTTCAAATGTGAACTTGTTTGAAAAAAACAAAAATGAGTTTTTGTTTTTCTTCCTTTCCCTTTAGCTTATTTCTCTACCTGTATTTGGAGGATTTTCTTTATTTTCTTTTTTTTCCCAAAGAGATGGCATCTTGCTATATTGCCCAGGCTGGACTTATGCTCCTGGGCTGAAGTGATCCTCTTACCTCAGCCTCTGGAGTAGCTGGGACTACAGGACATGCCATCATGCCCAGCGATTTTCTTAACTGTTAAATCCCTCACATGTCTGTCATTTGATTATAAGACCGTTGATCTATACACTTCAGCGATTCTGCAAGTCAACATTTTTTCTCTTTAGAAAACAATGTGAATATATATATTTTCCTTGTTAATAGTGCAGACTGCCACCAATATATTTGAGACATAAAAGGAAGAGAGGACAAATAATGTTACTAGAACATCTTTATTGATTTAGTTATCTAACTCTTTTAAAGAAAATGGGCCGGGCGCGGTGGCTCACGCCTGTAATCCCCGCACTTTGGGAGGCCGAGGCAGGTGGATCACGAGGTCAAGAGATCGAGACCATCCTGGTCAACATGGTGAAACCCCGTCTCCACTAAAAATACAAAAATTAGCTGGGCATGGTGGTGTGTGCCTGTAATCCCAGCTACTCAGGAGGCTGAGGCAGGAGAATTGCCTGAACCCAGGAGGCGGAGGTTGCGGTGAGCCAAGATCACACCATTGCACTCCAGCCTGGGTAACAAGAGTGAAACTCCGTCTCAAAAAAAAAAAGAAAAAAAAGAAAATGGACAATATTTCTTACTATGTTGATAAAATTCACTTATATTTAGTGAATTTTACCAACTATATATGATTAAACCATATATGTTGCATTACCACAAATTGTAAAATTTTGCTATTGAATGCATTTAGGGAAACATGCAAGAATGAACTTGAACTAGTTTACCTTCTGTATTATAGGGAAGTTAGGAAAGTAAAGAGGAAGAAATTGCTTTTCTGTTTTAGTCAACATTTAGATCAGTGTTAACATATCTGAACAAAAGTCATATCAAGAAGGCCAATAATTATAACCAGGTTGATTTAAAATCTTTTGTATCATATGTAATGAAAAGAGAATATGTCAGTATCATTAAATAATAAAAGCTAAAAACATACATATGTTGAACACATAAAGTAACAATGGTTATATTTTTGAGTGATAAGAAAAATATATGTATGGCCATGCGAGGTGGCTCACACCTGTAATCCCAGCACTTTGAGAGGCCGAGGCAGGTAGATCACAAGGTCAGGAGTTCAAGACTCCTGACCTGTAATCCCAGCTACTCATAACCTTATTCAGCCTGGCCAATGGTGAAACCCTGTCTCTACTAAACATACAAAAAAATTAACTGGGCATGGTGGTGGATGCCTGTATTCCCATCTACTCAGGAGGCTGAGGCAGTGAATTACTTGAACCCAGGAGGCAGAGGTTGCTGTGAGCTGAGATCGTGCCACTGCACTCCAGCCTGGACGACAGGGCGAAACTGCATCTCAAAAAAAAAAAAAAGAAAAGAAAAATATATGTATATGTAATTTTTGGTACACATTGACATGACATAAATGTTGCTTTACTCAATTTATAAAAGTAATATTATATTGTAATTTGGGGAAATATAATGTAGGTACTCATCTTGATATATATATTAAGCTTCTTCAAATATTTAAGAATTCTGTTAGTGTTGCCAGATATTTCTAAGATCTTAGAAAATTGTTTGGATGAAAGAGCATGATACAGAGTCTGCTTTTGTTTTGTTTTGTTTTGAGACAGAGCCTTGCTGTGTCACCAGGCATCAGGCTGGAGTGCAGTGGTGTGATCTCAGCTTACTGTAACCTCTGCCTCCCGGGTTCAAGCAATTCTCCTACCTCAGCCTCCTGATTAGCTGGGACTACAGGCACACGCCTCCACGCCCAGCTAATTTTTTTTAAATATATATTTTTAGTAGAGACGGGGTTTCACCATGTTGGCCAGGATGGTCTCGATCTCTTGACCTCGTGATCCACCCGCCTCGGCCTCCTAAAGTGTTGGGATTACAGGAGTGAGCCACCGAGCCCAGCCAAGAATCTGCTTTTTCTTTTCAAGATTAATAAATAGTGACCAGGTGTGGTGACTCACACCTATTATCCCAGCACTTTGGGAAGCTGAGGCTGGAGGATTGCTTTTGGCCAGGAGTTTGAGACCAGCCTGGCCAACATAGTGAGACTCTGTCTCTACAAAAAAATTGGAAAAACTTAGCTGGTTGTAATGATGTGCACTGGCAGTCCCAGCTCCTAAGTGAGGCTAAGATAGGAGGAGCCCAGGAGTTTGGAGCTGCAGTGAGCCATGATCTGTGCCCCAACCTGGGCGACAGAATGAGACTCCCAACTCAAAAACAAAAATTTTTTTTTTGTCTGGGCACAGTAGCTAGGTATGGTGGCATAGTCCCAGCTACTTAGGAGGCTGAGGTGGGAGGATTGCTTGCACCTGGGAGGTCAAGGCTGCATTGATCCATGATTGTGCCACTACATTCCAGCCTGGGCAATTGAGCCAGATCTTGTCTCAATTTTTTTTTTTTTTTTTTTGAGATGGAGTTTCGCTCTTGTCACGCAAGCTGTAGTGCAATGGTGCAATCTTGGCCCACTGCAACCTCCACCTCCTGGGTTCAAGTGATTCTCCTGCCTCAGCCTACCCAGTAGCTGGGATTACAGGTGCCCGCCACCGCGCCTAGATACATTTTGTATTTTCAGTAGACACAGGCTTTTGCCATGTAGGTCAGGCTGGTCTCAAACTTCTGACCTCAAGTAATACACCTGCCTCAGCCTCCCAAAGTGCTGGGATTATAGGTGTGAGCCACCACGCCAGGCCTCAAATTTTTTTTAGTAAATATTTCATTTTGTTTACCCATGAACTTTTGTGGTTTTTCCATACGTAAGCCTTGAAGCAGATATAATGTAAATTATTTCCCAGGTCTTATTAGAGAAAGATTATCGATGATAATTTGCTTTGCTAACTTGACTGCTTGAACAGAATTACAAATGGCATTTGTATAAGTTTTGTCACTTTTTAATTTATACTAGCTGGCTTACTTTCCAAATAAACACATAGCAGCTATTGTAAATTACTGTTTTGCTTTCAGAAACATGACTAATATAAGTTTAATAAATGAGATTTAAGTCATATGCTATTTTTAAAATGAGGATTTTCTTAACATAATTATCTCTGTTTCAGATGGGCCATCTTACTCTGGAAGACTATCAGATCTGGAGTGTGAAAAATGTTCTTGCCAATGAATTTTTGAACCTCCTTTTCCAGGTATGTTTAAGGTAAATGACAACCACATAGGGTAGTAGTACCAGTATTTCTACATCTTTTTCATCATATAGTAGCCAGAGTTGTTGTATCTAGGCTGCAAAACCAAATATTATTAAAAGACAGAACTATACATTACCCATCTGAAAGATGGGTGCTTGCTGAAGTTTCTCAAAATCGTCGCAGAAAGTGGGATGTAGATATAACTCATTATAGAGCAGTACATAGGCATTTAGAGAAGAATATAAATTGCAAAAACCATCATAATTTGCTAGTTTCTTCATTATTGTCTTTTTTAAAGGCCTTCCGTGTAATAAGACTGACCAGAAGTATTTTTTTAAAATAAATAAATAAATGGCCTTTCTAGTAAAGACAGTATGCACAGAAAGATGAATCATAAGGAGGTAACTTTTCTCTCTTTCTTCTTCTTTTTTTTTTTTTTTTTTTTTTAGACAACGTCTCGCTCTGTTGTGCAGGCTAGAGTGCTGTGGCACAAGCATGGCTCACTGTAGCCCTGACTTCTCAGGCTCAGGTGATTCACTTCCCAAGTAGCTGGGACTACAGGCATGTGCCACCATGCCTGGCTAATTTTTGTATTTTTTGTAGAGACAGCTCTTGCTGTGTTGCCCAGGCTGGTACTGAATTCCTGGGCTCAAGCAGGTCTCCTGTCTCAGCCTTCCAAAGTGCTGGGATTACAGGAGTGAACCATCACACCCAGCCCAAGTTTTTCAAAGTACACAGTCTCTCTGGTTAATAGAACATTAAAGGTATGAGGCTGTTTCCTAATTTTATGCTTTAGAAGGTCCAAGAAACATTAAAGTGGGAAGGAAAGCTACCAGAAGTGAACACTAAGTCATAGAGCTTGACAGATTTTTAACTATTGTCCTAGTTAAAGTCTCCTGCTCTGATTTTTAAAGGTAATTCATATTTTCCCATTTTTATAGTTATTCATAAATATTTAAGTTGATTTAATAGTGGTTATTTTAGTTTCTTCTTATTTTATTTTCCTTTCTTTATAAAAGCAACCCCTGTGAAGGTCAGAATGGTTTAGTAAGTTTATGTGTGTCATGATCTACCATGTTAAATAAAGAATAACTTGTCTGCAACACAGCTATGTTGGAATGAATGGAAATTGGTCTCTTCTTGAGAGCTAATGACTAAGTTTTATGTATTTAAAACATATAAAACCTGATAAGCCTGTATTATCCATTTAAATCGTTTGCTTTATTACAAGTTCTAATTTTAGCATAGATTCAAGTTGATGGCTTTATAAAATACATGTGAAAATAATATAAATCACTACTATAAACACAACAGTAGTAAATGGGTCAACTATTATTATCTATTTATTCATTTTGATATAGAGCCTTGCTCTGTCGCCCAGGCTGGAGTGCTGTGGCGCGATCTGGGCTTATTGCAACCTCTGTCTCCCTGCCTCAGCCTCCAGGGTAGCTGGTATTACAGGCACGTGCTACCACGCCCAGCTAATTTTTGTATTTTTAGTAGAGGTGGGGTTTCACCACGTTGGCCAGGCTGGTCTTCAACTCCTGACCTCAAGTGATCCACCCGCCTCAGCCTCCCAAAGTGCTAGGATTACAGTTGTGAGCCACTGTGCCTGGCCTGGTCAACTATTTTTATCTCTTTTTTTTGTTTTTGTTTTTGTTTTTTTGAGACAGAGTTTCACTTTTGTTACCCAGGCTGGAGTGCAATGGCACGATCTCGGCTCACCGCAACCTCCGCCTCCTGGGTTCAGGCAGTTCTGCTGCCTCAGCCTCCTTAGTAGCTGGGATTACAGGCACGCGCCACCATGCCCAGCTAATTTTTTGTAGTTTTAGTAGAGACAGGGTTTCACCATGTTGACCAGGATGGTCTCGATCTCTTGACCTCGTGATCCACCCGCCTCGGCCTCCCAAAGTGCTAGGATTACAGGCGTGAGCCACCGCACCCGGCCTTTTTATCTCATTTAAAATAATATCTTCAATAGTGAGTTCTGTAGGCTTTTAAAAATTATTATTATTAAACTATTGTTACTTTTTAAAGTAAGAATCTCATATTCAGTGTACAAACTTTTTGTATGAACAGTACACAAACATATTCAATGTACTGCTCGTGTACAGTTTACAGTTCATGTACTGTTCATACACAGACATATTCAATGTACTCTTGTATTCAGTGTATGAACATTTTGGTCACTTAAGTTTGCGTCTGAGTCATCTTGTAGCTCTCACAGAGTATAGCATTTTGACTTTTGGTATTGCCTTTCATATTTTGTCATTCTTATCAAGGACTTGGAGTGGCACTATTTTTGTGACTCTAACTTATGAATAAATATATACTTTAGATTTGCTTATGTGTATGTTTCCAACATTTTATACTGAAAAGCTGAACTTTTTTTTTTTTTTTTTTTTTTTTTTTCAGGAAACACCCATAATCTACTCAACACTTAAATTTTATTAGATTTTACTATATGTGCTTTGTCACATTTTCGGTTATGCTCATATGTGCAATTAATATATGAGTAAGCAGGCAGTTAATGCTAAATTGTTTTTATTTTCTGTGTTTTAAAATTGATAGAATCAGCTTGTTAGATTAGTGATACAATATTGAATTATGCTTTTATTTGCCAAAATCTCACACATGGCTGAGTGCTTTGGTTATTTAAAATCTAGCATATGCAAATGTCAGTAGAATTATTCTGAAATCTATTCCTGAGGTAGTATCTTCTCCTTTCCCTTTTTCTTCCTTCCCTTTCTCTTCCCTTCTTACCTAGTGATTTGAAAGTTAGCCTCCATTGGAATGGCTTGTTTAAAAAAAGCAAACAAAACCCCAAAACCACGAGGCTAAAGTTAAAATTTGCTCAAGTGAATCATTGATAATTCATGAGTTGAAAGCTGTTGCTAATTCAGTTTCCCATTTAGAAAGTGGGTCTCATGCAGAGAATGTGAAATATTATGTAGTTAATAAATTTTGATTTACCATTTTTTCCCTAGGTGTGTCACATAGTTTTGGGGCTAAGACCAGCTACTCCAGAAGAAGAAGGACAAATTATTAGGTAAATTTGTAGTTTCAATCTGTGTATTTTCATTATATAGTTAAAATTTCAAATACTTGAGTTATATTGGTTACTGAGGAACAGCATGTCCCATTTTAATGTAATCATTAACTAGTTCTCAAAAATAGTTACATATTGAAATTTTTTTTGTTAAAGTACCTTCCTAAGTAAGAGAAGTCCCTTATCTTCTCTAGTATCTAGGAAGGTACTTTAACAAAAATATTTCAATATGTAGCAATTTTTGATACTGTAGATTAAGAAATCAAATTCTATTTAACATTAAAATTGCACTAAATACTAAATTTGATTTTTTAAAATAAGATAAAAGGTAGCCAGTTTTCTTTAGTACAAAAATACTTTATTGTTGGAAAAATTGGAAAACAGAGCTAAACAAAAAGAAGCAAAGAAAGATTTTATAGATAATTGCTGTAGACATTTCTAATATTCATATAAACATATGCCCACAATGATATGTGTAAAATTTATATGAAAATGAGAATATTCTGAAATACCTATTTTATTCCCTGCTCCTGTTTTCACTCTAGATCATATAAAATAATGCTTTTATATATTAGAATAAAGCCTTCTTTGAATATAATTTTAAATAATTGGCCAGCAGCCCTGTTTATCCTCTATTATTCTTTTTAATATAAGCGTATTGAACCAATTTTGTTAAGAAAGTCTCTATGTCTTGGCTTAAGGATAAATTATTTAACATTAAATATTCTGGTTATATTTAAAAAACAAAGGTATGCATATTTTATAGCCACATATCCATTTTTAATAACTTGAGTGTCTTTCATTGTTTTGTGGTATTGCTATTATGCTGCCCATTTGTGTAGATAGTTTCAGAAATAGGACTGAATTTCTAGTAAACTTTGCTTTTGAAATAAACTCTCATGAGGTACCTTGTCACTTGACTTTTTCTTAAAAGTATTGTGCATACAAACTTTTCAGTAGTTTCTTCTAGCTTGGGTTTCTGGATAGACAGGAGTTTACTGAAATAGAGTTGTCTGGAATACCTGATAACAGGATTACATATTCAGCATTTAAACAGGACATGGCAATTAAGATATCGATTAAAGTAGTAGATATATTTTCCAAGTTTGTAAATGACAAGTTTTAAAAATGGTTCTTTCTTTTTTTTTTTTTTTGTAAGTGAAAGCAAGTTTATTAAGAAAGTAAAGGGGCCAGGTATAGTGGCTCATGCCTGTAATCCCAGCATTCTGGGAAGCCAAGGCAGGTGGATTGTTTGAGCTCAGGAGTTCAAGAACAGCCTAGGCGATATGGTGAGACTCTGTCTCTACAAAAAATACAAAAATTATCCAGGCCTGGTGGTGCACACCTGTGGTCCCAGCTACTCGGGAGGCTGAGGTGGGAGGATTGCTTGAGGTCAAGGCTTCAGTGAACCAAGATTATGCCACTGGATTCCAGCCTGGGTGACAGTATGAGACTGCCACAAAAAGACAAACAAAAACAAACAAACAAACAAATAAATAAATAAAGGAATAAATTTGTGGCCACTCCACGTGCAAAGCAGCGTGGTTATTTCTTAAAGAAGATTAAGCAAAATCTATTTTTTTTTTTTAATGTTGCTTTCTTAAAACTCTAGTCTTACGTAGTTTTTGTTTTTTTGGTTTTTTTGTCTTGGCTTTTTTGAGATGAGGTCTCCCTGTATTGCCCAGGCTGGTCTTGAACTCTTAAGTTCAAAAGATCCTTCCACCTCAGCCTCTTGAATAGGTGGGATTACGGGTGTACACCACTGTGCCCAACTTTCATGTAGTTTTAAAAATACTCATACTCAGAAGACTCTCTTCATATTCTTGACTATATTGTCTTGATTGTCTCTGGTTTTTAGCTATTATAAGATTTTAAAATATATTGACATGTAGAAATGAGATATTGTAAGGACATACGTATAGGCTTTTGTGTGGCTATAGTGGCTAATATTTTTTCTTGCAATATTACAATCTAATTTGCTATAGTAATATATTCTGAAGTAAATATCACGTAGCATAGTTAGAAAGAATGCTGTGTAACCTGTATTTACATTTATTGGCTTATTTTGTAACCACTCATAGCATCCCTATTTTTAAAAATAAGGTTATATTTTCATAGAAATTTATTCTTTGCAAAATACATGTAGTTACATTATCTCATCTGGTCCTTAGAATAACTGCATGAAATTAGTGTCTCTCATTTTGTAAAAGGAAACTGAGATTTACAGAAGTTGAGGAATTTACCTAAAATTACATGGGACTGGCAGAATCAACTCTAGGACATCTTTCATTGAAAACATCAATAATCTGCTTTTTGTTTTTTGTATTTTTTAATAAGTCTGGATTTAAAATTGTTGGTTCCAAATTCGTTTATTTCATCTATGGGTTTTGTTTAGTATTCGTTTTTAGTTTTATTTTGTTTTGCCTCTGTTTTTACTTATAAAAGTTCATTTGGCTGTGTGTGTGTGTGTTATTTTTTTAAGACAACGGAGTTTTGTTCTTGTTGCCCAGGCTGGAGTGCAATGGCACAACCTTGGCTCACAATAACCTCCGCCTCCCAGGTTCAGGCGATTCTGCCTCAACCTCCTATGTAGCTGGGATTACAGGCATGCACCACCATGCCCAGCTAATTTTGTATTTTTAATGGAGATGGAATTTCTCCATGTTGGTCAGGCTGGTCCCGAATTCCAACCTCAGGTGATCCGCTTGCCTTGGCCTCCCAAAGTGCTGGGATTACAGGTGTGAGCTACTGCGCCTGGCTGGCTGTGATAATTTTTAAAGGATTATTCAGGTTGGTTCCTATGCAATGAGGCAAAACAAATATTTGTCTCTAACTTACAGTCAGTATGTTTTAAAAAAATAAGTATCATGATTTCTGGAATATCGGAGTGAAGATCTTAGCAAATCCTTTTCCCAAAAAGTACTTATGAAACTGGACAAAATGGTCAAACAACCATTTCAGGGCTCTGGAAACTGAACCAAATATATGTAAGAAATTGAGAAGCATTTATTCAAGAACTACTAATCCTTGGTGAGAGTAATGGAAATGTGTGGTAATTTAACCAAGAACAGCTTTCGTTTCCTCCCATCTAGCAAGTCTGCCTGATAGTTCTACCAGGCCAAGTCAGAATGAGCTGACATTCTGATTCATGATTTGAAGGAGAGCAGGAATAAATGCCTATCCAATGATGTTATAAAATAAACACATACCCTCATGGCGGTAAATAATGAGGGAAAACTGACATCACCCCCTTGGGAATAGGATACTGGTTACGGGAAGCAGCAGACTAACAACAGACCAGTCAGAATTTTAACAGGGAACAGGATCACCATAGTGAGCATTAATAAGCTTTCCCATGTCCCCATGATCTTTTAGACTGCTTGTACAAGGCCATACACAACTCAGGAGAAACCAACGTGGGCCTTAGCACTTTATTCTTCCCTTTTTGAAGGTAAAGCCTTGCATATGCAGAAAGTAGAAGCCCCGGCTTGTAACCTGCCCAAACCTTAAATGCATTCCCCAAACCATGCACAGATCCATCAGAAAAAGGGTGCAGGTGTTACTGGCTCAGTGTGTTTCAGCAACCTCTCAACAGTCATTGGCTGGCCAGTAAGTTAGGCTCACCCTAAGAAAGCCAAGCTTAAAAATAAAAACAGAGGTAATAAAAAAGAAAACCAAGAGCTGCAAGATAATGTACGGGGAGATAAACTCTACAGAATTGTTCCAGGAAGTCATAAAACAAAACAAAACACATGGGGGTTCAGAATCCAGAGTTGCTAATATAAAGTATCAAATTTGTTCGGTTTTCAACAAGAAAAAGTTATGAGACATGGAATAAAACAGGAAAGTGTGACCCGTATTCAAGGACAAAACAAACAATAGGAGAAACTGTCTCAGAGGTAGCACCAGATGTTCTGCTTAGCATACAGACTTCAATGCAGCTATTATAAATGTTTTCAAAGAGCTAAACGAAGCTGTGTTTAAAGAATTAGAGAAAAGTATGATATCAGTGACTTGTCCAAACAGAAAATAGCAATAAAGGGAGAGAAATTTTAAAACAGAATCAAATAGAAATTCTAGCATATTTGAGCTGATGGAGAAATATTCAGCAAAACAGAATATGGATCAATATAGATTATTTCATCAGAAAGAGAGAAAGAAGACCAAATAAATGAACAGAGCTTCACAGAAGATGGAACACCATCAGGTCTACCAAAATATGCATAATGGAAGTCTCAGAAGGAAAGAAAGCAACAGAAAAAAGTTTGACAAGATAATGTCTGAAAAGTTCTAAAATTTCTTGAAAATTATTAATCTTAAAAGCTTAATGAACTCCATGTGGGTTAAAGACAAAAAGATCCACGCCTAGACATATCATTGTAAAAGTGTTGAAAACTAAAAACAAAGGAAGATTTTGAAAGCCACAGGAGCAAAAAGACTCATCATGTAGAAGAGAACCACAATGTGATAAACAGCTGACTTTTTGAAACGATAGAGCTCAGTGTGCAGTGGTATGAGAAAGTGATATAAGGAAAAAATAAATAAAAACTGTCAACCCAGAATTCTTTATCTAGCAGAAGTATAATTCATAAATAAAGGTGAATTACTAGCTGACTTCAAAATATACTACAAAGCTATAGTAACCAAAACAGTATGGCACTGACATAAGAACAGACACATAAACCAGTAGAACAGAACAGAGAACCCAGAAATAAATCCACACATTTACAACCAACTTGTTTTTGACAAAGATGTCAAGAGCATACAATAGGGAAAGGACAATATCTTGAATAAATGGTACTGGAAAAGTTGGATATCCATATGTAGAAGAATGAAACCAGACCTCAATTTCTTACCATACACAAAAATCAAATCAAAGTGGATTAAAGAGGGCAGGTGAGGTGGCTCATGCCTGTAATTCCACCACTTTGGGAGGCCGAGGTGGGCAGATCACCCAAGGCCAGGAGTTCGAGACCAGCCTGGCCAACATGGTAAAACCC